GAGGGGAGGCAAGTGTGACAGCTGACGACTAAGAAGCAGAATCCAGATCCTTTTGAGGCGCAAAGACCCCAAAGAAGGGGTGAGGGGAAAGGGCGGAGAGGGTCTCTCTTGCCTGCAAATCCGCCCTCCCCGCCCCGTCACAATTCACACACACACACACACACACACTCACTCAGGCGTTCACTCCCCTTGCCAAAGGGGAGGAGGAGGAGGAGGAGGAGGAGGAGAGGAGGGAGCCGCAACGCAACCTATTCATGTTCCGGCGAGGAACACCCTCATTTTCCAGGCTGGGGAAGACAAAAACCCGTCACAACCTGTTTCTGGAACTTGTCAGCAGCTGCCAAGAGGAGCATGTTAATTAAACGTCGGGCGAAGATGGAAGCCGGAGGGCCCGGCTCTAATTGGACAGTTTGCTCCGCCGAGTGAAAAACATTGTGACAAAGGAGGAGGGGCGCCTTGCGCAGCGGGGTGCGAGGAGGGGTGCCCGCCCGGGAGGGGCCGGCGCTTTGATTTCAGCTGATAGGGCTCCGGGCACGCCCAGGAGATCGGAGGAGGGGCCTGTGGACCAGGGGGAGAGGAGGGGTGCAGGGGGGAGGAGGTGCCCCCAGCCCAGCATGCCAGGGCAGCCAGCAGTCTCCCTGACAGCAACACGGGGCTCAACCTCAGACCAGGCTGCGGGGCAGGGGAGGGGGGGGCTTTCCCCCCATTATGTGCCCTGGGTCTGGGGGCCATGCAGGGAGGGCACCCAGGCAGGGCCAGCAGTCACCTCCCCTCTATTTTGAGACTGATCTGGGGTCACCCTGTTGCCCAGACTCTCTGTGGGCCACGTGATCGGGGGTGAGGTCTTTATTCATTTATTTTTAAAAATATTTTAATGGATTTCAGAGAGGAAGGGAGAGGGAGAGAGAGGTAGAAACACCCATGATGAGAGAGAATCGCTGATAGGCTGCCTCCTGCACGCCCCCTACTGGGGGTCAAGCCAGCAACCGTGACCCCCTGGTTCATAGGTCCACACTCAACCACCGAGTCACCCCGGTCAGGGTGGGGGATGAAATCTTTAAAATGCTGGCATCTGGGAAGCTTGTCTTGGCAAAGCAGCTGTGAAGGGCCTCACGGGGAGCGTTGCTGAGCCTGTAGGTGCCCACAGGGCTGCAGGGGGCACCCCCAGACGGCCCCCCATGTGCATGTTTGACGGCTGTCCGCCAAGTCCCCTCTGTTGCCCACTCAAAGGATGCACTGGGTGCCACGCTGGGTGCCTGCCCTGCCTGTGCCCTCACCTCCCAGCCCCCCCCCCCCAGCGGGGGAGCATCATACACACCCAGGTCGGGCTGGGGTCACTGGGGTGGGGGTGCTTAGCTAACAAGGGCACAGCCCCTCTTCTGCCCCTGTCTGCCTTGCCCCAGATCTGCCCCCACCCCACTCTCATCTGGAGCTGAAGGCCTCCGTTCGGGGTGCGGGGTCCGGGCCGGGGCCTGCGCCCAGAAGCAAGAATGGGAAACAGGGCCACTGTTGCTGACCCTGGGGATTAAGAGCTACAAAGTGGATGAGGAGGTGGGGGGCCATGGACAGCAGCCCTCGCGTGCGTTCCCAGGGGGGCTGGTCCCAGCAGCCAGAGCCCTGTCTAGGACAGGACGCCTGCCGGGCCTAATCCCCTGGGAGCTGCCGGGGGAGAGGCCCCTGAAATAAGGC